TCGATCCCAGGATCCTGGGATCATGACCTGAGCCGAAGGCAGACGCTTAACGACTGAGCCACCCAGGTGCCCCAGGAGCGCTGTTCATTGTTGCTAATTTGCTGCATGACTTAGAACAGAAAAGACTTATATTTATCAATGATATGATGTGTGTTAGGTGCTTTCAGAATGCTAGGATATTATTGCTCTTTTCCATATCAGGAGGCTGAGGTTCAGAGAGATTAAAATGATTGTTTAAAGTTACACAACTTGTATTCCCAGCTGGTCTTTCATCCAAGTACTGACCAGGCCTGACCCTGTTTAAGTTTCAGAGATCAGACAAAACGGGCACATTCAGGATAAAGTCACACAGCTTGTAAATGTTTGAGGCAGAAGTAGGTCTGTTTGACGCCAAAGCTTATGTGCTTCTTACCATACTGCCAGATGAACAGGATCACTTAACCTTCCCTGAGTGTCATTTTGCGTGTGTCTTCCCCCAGCAGAGGATGGATATAGGAGTAAATGGTTGCTACAGGCAATATCAACTCTAAAATTCTGGGGTCCTGTAAGTTGGATGTTTTACCCTTGTCATGAAACATAATTGAATGAAGAAGTATTTTAATGAAATATAGTGATTTCAAACATAGAGCAGAATAAGAGAAAAAGGCTAGTTAGTAGAATTTGTAGATTCTTAAGGGTCCTGAATAGGGGACTTTTTGGTCATCAGGCTCAGAGTTGATAAATGGTCTCAGAAAAGAGGCAGGCTCCCAACTTTGGGACCTAGCCATCAGTGAGAAAGAAAGCATGATAATTTTGTGAAGGTATGTATACCTGCACAAGTGTGTGTGATTTTTTTTTTTTTTTAACTTAATGAGGTAGTCTTCCTTCAGATTTGGCCTTGAAAAATTAAAAGTGATTTTTTTTTTTTCTACATTATTAGAAACCTAGAACAGTTCAAACCCAGGAATTTATATCAAATGCAGCTGCAGCCTTTTGGCAGTTCAAAGAATGGCAAGCAGTTTCTTTCAGTATACCACAGATTATTACTTTTAGTATTAACGTTTAGGAAAGTGATTGCAGAAATTAATGATGGTCTAATGCCACAGAGATGGTTAAGGCAGAATTAGGATAAGATCTGAAAAATTCTGGCTTTAGGCCAATACTCCTGCTAGAATATATACTTCTTAACTCCTGTTGGTCAGTGAGTTCTGTTTATGCTATACTCTGGAGGAGGGGGGAAAATCTTGGAATGTTGAGTTGTTTCAATGTTTATTCCTTAGTAAAAGGAAATGAACCTGTTAGCTTTCACTTCAAGTAAAGATACAGGTAAAGGGGAAGAGTGATCTCTTATCTCTTTACTGTTACATAACCTAAAAATATATTAATAAAGAAAAGAGCTTTGTGTTTTATTATGAGATGACTTAAGCAAAAGTGATTAAATATCTATAACTGATACTTCTTCCAGCAGGACACTGTGTGGTGCAACTGCATTTCCTCTGAGAATGCAGCAGTGGATTTTAAAAGATCCATACTTTTCCTTTTAAAAATAGCAGAGTGATCACTCTAGTGCATGGGTGTATCGGTCTTGCTTCCCAGGGGGGTGTGTTTAATTGCTGTCAAACTGTGAAGCTTTATACTGACATTATTCTTTGTTAGCCATTTTAGGCTTAAGGGCCCACGGGAAGGCTTGGGTCACCCAGAAATCCCATTAGTATAAAATCACATTTGTAAGCCATATCCCTTGCGTCTTGAAATCCCGCTTTTTGCAGGACCATGACTATAATTTTTAATATGCTAACAAAATTAGGGGCTATTAGGTAGGAAGATTAATACTCTTAGCAGGTTGCTTAATTTATTTATCAAGGCCAGCTTAATCCTTTGCTTATGAGAATCAGTTCTTATTTGCTTATTGCAGATACTCTTTAAAAAGAAGAATCAAATCATCTTCATAAATAACTGTTAAAATAAGGATGAAAATTAGCATGCCATTACCAGGATGATATCCTGTGCTATCATGGTCATTTTTAACTAACATAACCTGTCTTTCTCTGACATTTTTGTAGAAACTTAAGAAACAATGAAATTTCATGGGCCATAGAAGATGCTAGTGAAGCTTTTGCTGGACTTACAAGTCTCACTAAATTGTATGTATTTATAATATTTTTGTATGCCTATATGTGTATTTTCAAGAACCAATTGTAAATGTGATTGGATTATGTCTTTTTGCTATGGCTGGAAAGTCACCCTTTTGACTCACCCACTAAAGGAGGAAGCTTTTTGTTTATTAAGTTTTTTGTTTATCAGTGGCTTTAAATTTTTTTAATTTATTTAGTGGTGGGACACTTTCTATTGAAAGGGCTTTCCTATGGGTACTCAAAGAGGTTATTCATAGAACTGGAATTTCTATTCACGTAAAAGAAATGCACTGAGAAACCAGAGTTGAACCAGTATTCTTTTTAATCATATGAGATTTATGGACAGTTTATCTAGAAAGAGAGGAATTCTCTCAAGTAAGATGTTAGATCTTCTCACCTGAGAATTTCTCCAAAGCTTCACACTTGTCTGAATTTCTTTGACCTGATCTTTTGCTAAGAAGGGAGAGATTGGGACTCTAATCCAGTTTCTCATATGAAATCTAGCAGTGCATCACGGGTCCGCATGGCTATTCACAGGCACCTTGTTGAGCTCCAGCCTCTTAATAGAGGCCTTCATTCTGTGCTTTGCATTGGTTGGTAATAAAGGTTCACAGCTTTCTTAAAAAATCCATGTTAAACTTATTTTCACTTTTTATAGGTAAATGTTTGATTTAATGAATTAAATTTTGCTTAGTGGAGAGCTTTATTAGAAAGGTCTGTTTGTATTTCAGAATCTTACAAGGAAATCAAATTAAGTCAATTACAAAGAAAGCATTCATTGGTCTTGAATCCCTTGAGCATCTGTAAGTATTTTGCATCCATTTTGCTCAGTATATAAATAATCTTTGCTATTAGCAGAGGTTCTCATGACCATTTAAAGTGTTTATTTAATTTAATTGTAGAAATGGTGACCGGTAATGTTTCATTTCTCTTCATTTCAGCGATTTGAACAACAATGCTATAATGTCTATCCAAGAAAATGCTTTTTCTCAGACTCGCTTGAAAGAACTGTACGTAACTTAAGTTTTTTTTTGTCACCAGTCATTAGATCATTATCCATGCTTGTGCTTAAAGTGTGATGAATGTGACCCATGTGTTTCCAAAAACACACAGTATAGGCAGGAAAAAAAAGAAATGTTAATATTCAGTTATTTTAGTGGCTGGATATAATTTTAAAATAACCCAAGATTGAAAAGCCTAGAGTTTGTGGCACCAAGACCCTCTGTTTTGCCTGTGCTTACAGTTAAAGAGACCTTAGCATGGCTCCTTGTGCTTTAAGTATATCCTGTTCCTTTTTTTCCCCCCTGTTTATTTTTGGATTATTGGAAAAATGTGTTCCCAGTCTCCTTAGGTGGGAACCTTAGGGTGGATTACAGTTAAGGTATTAGGTAATTTGTTGGAGATAATTTAGCAGTTTCAGTATCATCAGAGGGAATGTCTCTAATCTGTTTTTTCAAATTACTAAAATGGTCAAACACTGTTAAATAGTTGTATTAGAAAAACACATATTCATGATTTTTAAAAAATTGCTGTTACTGTTTTAGAGATTTCCGAGGGGGAGGGGTGGTTAGTTGGGCATTGGTATTAATTTTATACTCTGGTGATTTGAATATTGAGCCAGTGTTAAGAATCAGTGGACTAAAACAGTTGATCTCGCCTTGCTTAAAAGCCACTCAGAGGACGGACTGTGGACCAGAACTGGTTCATGATGAGATAAGGAGAGAAATTCATAGTAAGCATTTAGAAACTTTTAGAACAATTTGACATTATTGTGACACTTCTGTTGAATTTTATAGAAGTATTAATCTACAACAGATTGGAAATTATAAAACTGGTCCTTCATCACAAGTAGTTTGAGATGCACTAGAAGTTTGTGAGTTCATACTGCCTAGATTTCAAATTTCTGCTCCATTCTTTACAGCTATGTGACGTTGGGGAAATTTAGTCTAAGACTCAATTTTCCTTCTCAAAATGGAAGTTGTACCTCCTTCAGAGTTATGTGAGGATAAAACTAGATAATTTGTTTATTCAAGAAATATTTATTATCCTCTGCTACGTAAGGTACTGTCCTAGATGCTAAAAACACAGTAGTGAACAAGACAAAATCTTTATCCTCATAGCATATTACAATAAATTCTCGTAATGAAGTCAAAGAATAAATTAGTAGATATATAATATCTCATCAGGTAATAAGAATTCTGGAGGAAAATAAAGGTGGGTCACAGGTATAGAGAGTGGCTGGGATTGCTATTTTGGATAAAGTAGTGAGGGAAGGCTTTTTTTTTTTGAAGATAATAGCATTTGAGTCTGGACCTTAGGGGCAAAGCATTGAATACTGGGTGAAGAGCATTCCAGGCACAGAAAACAAGTGAAAAGGCCCTGAGGTAGGAGCTTGCTTCTTATGCTTGAAGGACAGCGAAGACATCAGTGTGGCTGGAAGAGAGCAAGAGGAAAAGGGGTTAGGTGGTGAGGTCAGGGAGTTAAGCAGGAACCAGACCATGTAGGACCTAATGAGTCATGGGGACTTTGGATTTTTTTTTTCCTCTAAATACATTAGGAAACTTTGGAAGGTTTTGAGAAGATGCTCAGCACAGAGGCTGGCACATAGTGAAAGTTGAATAACTAATATTAATAAAATAAAAATGTTATGGGAATCAGTTATTTTCTGCCAGACTTTTAAGTGGCTCTTTTTTTGGGGGGGGGTGTCAAGATATTTTGAGTTATTTCTCCTGGGCTTAACTTTTTTTAAAATTTAAATTTAACTAATTAACATAAAATAATGTATTATTGGTTTCAGAGGTTCAGGTTAGTGATTCATCAGTCTTACACGTAGTGCTCATTACATTACATGCCCTCCTTAATGCCCAGCACCCAGCTACCCCATCCCCCTCCCCTCCAGCAACCCTCAGTTTAACTTTTAAGGGCACAACTTAGTGCATATCAGTATTACCCTTTTTTTGCCCATGATAATCTGAGGGCCACCAATAAAGTTTTAACGCTTATTAGAAGAGCTAAGTGTAAAATGTAATTTAGGTAGTAGGTGAAAGCAAATAGTATAGTTTCAGTCTTCAGTCATTTGGTAATTTGAGAATTGGTTTGAACAAACTGCTAATGGAGGAAACTCTAACACACCTTTTTTTTTTTTTAAAGTGTGTGTATTCTCTACCTTTCTCCTTTCCTTGTCCTTCCCCAGCTTTTCCCCAAAGAAATTATGTTATTTGTAACAAACTTAACTGCAGGAATAACTGTCAGAATAACTAGTGGTGATTAGCAGTTTTAAAGTTAAATCATAAATAGTGCAACATTAGTGAAGTGTGGTATAAATAAATTTGTAACAATACTTCTTAACTATGGGTTCCTCTTATACATTTTTATTTTTTACATACCTATTTTCAAAATCACTATTACACCTTGCTTATATAATCAGAATCTTGGCAGGTTGCTTCAGGAAGAGCATAACCAACCCTGAGCATAAGTATGGTTACTTGAAGAGATACTAGATTTTGTGCCAAGTTAAACTATGCAGATATTAAGGAATGATGGGTTACATTAATAATGAGAAACCCAACTAATGCTTGTCTATATCACCTGTAGGTGATAACTTGTTTTAATATCCATTCACTCCTAGAAAATCTTTATAATGACTTAAATAAAATATAGTCTGGTACAAAGACGTGAACCCAGTTGATATGCAGAAAATGCTTACTAATAATGATGGAAAATGCATACCTTTCTGTATATTTTCATGTATAAGCAACAGCATTTGTTCTGCTATTGCTGAATTATTATTTTATTAGTAGGCCATGGCTTTGTACTGCTTGCTAAAACTTAAACTCTGTTCACTGGTTTGGAATTTGAAGGCCATACACTAGGTTCTAAAATGGAATTTACTGTTTCATAAATCAGTCCAAAAACAGTCTAGTACATTTGCATTTTCCACTATCTGAGGTATATTACTGATTAGAAATATAAGAGAACCATCTAGTTAGTTTTTTTTTTTTTCCCTTTTGTCCAGTTCGTAATTAAGCTGATTTGGTCAACCTAGGGCATTTTGAAAATATTCTGTAGAAAGAATTCTAATCTCTTAGAAAAGTAATTGAATTAAAATCTTTTCTAGTCACATTCTTAGTTGTAGATAGATTTTATATGTGAGTTTATTTTTATATTTAGACAATATTTTCCCATGGTAGACTATTAAAACAGTACAGGAGCATATAAAGTGGAAAAATAACAGTTCCTTTGTTCCACCTAAGGAAAACCCACTGTTAACCATTTCTTGGGTGTACTTCTTGAAGTTCTACACACCATATCTATTTTTTCCTTTGAAATGCACATGTGCCTGCACATACACGAAGCCATACTGTGTACCATGTGTAAATAAATGTGTTATTCTTGGGGCATCTGGGTGGCTCAGTCAGTTGAGCGACTGCCTTCAGCTCAGGTCATGATCCTGGAGTCCCAGGATCGAGCCCCGCATAGTATCGGACTCCCTGCTCGGTGGGGAGTCTGCTTCTCCCTTTTCCTCTGCTCCTCGCTGCTTTATTTATCTTAAATGGGTGGCTCAGTTGGTTAAGCGACTGCCTTCGGCTCAGGTCATGATCCTGGAGTCCCGGGATCGAGTCCCGCATCGGGCTCCCTGCTC